TATTATTTTAATATACATTTGGTTACCTCTGACAAATGTTTAAAATGGTTATTATTTAAAAATAAAAATACCATGGGTGGGGTTAGAACCCGCTATCAAAAAGTCACAAAACTCCAGACCGATGCATTAGCCACTGGGTCAGCTAACTACAATATAGCAAACTGGCCCAGTGGCTAACATGTCGGTCTGGAGTTTTGTGACTCTCTCATCACAGGTTCTAACCCCTCCCGTGGTATGGTTTATTTGCAATTGTGTTATGACTATTTCGGAAGTCATAGTTATTTACCTCAACGACGGTTTCCTATCAAGGTATTGTGACATCCATAAACGCACATTCATTACTCCTGAAATGACTTTCTGGAAGTGCACGGTCATCACAATTTAAATGAACAGAAGATTTTTTTTTTGTTTATTTAAAACATGTCAATACATTATGAAATACATATATAAAAGAGACACACAACAGGCTCAAAACAATGTACAAGCCATCCCTACCTAATCACACCACCACCGCCCAATGGTGGGGTGAAAACTACCCACCCCCAAAGACCACCCCATCCTGCACCCTACCTTGAAATCAACATGATTTATAACACAGACAATATTAATGGTACAGTGGACATATAATAACAAAATGGACATAGAGTAACAAACTGGACATATAGTAACAAAACAGCACCCATCAGTCACAGACTGCCACTCTCTCAGCCCACATCCCCCCCATCTCATGGCAGATCGTAAACTCCCCACAGGTAAGCGGTTACACATTCCACCCTTACCTACAGTGCTTCAGTCTCCAGACATGAGAACATAGAACACTCATGCATGTCCAAAACTGCACCAAAATAACTCTACTATGCTATCCCACCCCCACATAGCTGCGGGCGGCAATTACCCGCCCCCTAACACAACCCTACCAATCAACCCACCATTGCTATAACATATACAAGCAATAATGCACAAGCTATAACAATTGACACATTACAATGTGCCTTACAGGCGACCTAGAAGCCCTGCCGGGCATGCACTTTTCGACAGAAGCCAATACATGCATATTAAACATAGCAACCAGCAAAACTTAATATTACGCAACATAACATAATTGAACATTATACAACATAGCATAACAGAACATGGCACAGCATAACATAACACCGTGCCATGAAAGCACATTGGCACCAGGCTAAAATGCAGTCACACACTCGCGGCATATGCCACCCTCAACCATGCCAGCTTACCTTTGGTGCACACAGGCACAAGCAGGGACAACACCATGCAGGACCAAACACACCTCTTGTGCCACAGTCCACAGACACATCCAAACAGCACATATCAGACTAATTTCACACAAAACACTGGACATCCGCCCACTGCCCTCGAGGCGCACGCTAGCAGATACCCCAGACACTCACTCCATGCACTGACGCTGCCATCATGTAGCAGTCCACACCACACCTGTCACGATGCATCCTGCCCCTGCCTGAACCCCGTTCTCACCTGGCACCTATTTCCATAATTGTCCCTATTCCTACATGCCGTTCTATAGAACATTGCCGCAAGTACCCGCTTCCACACCCCACACTCGTCCGTCCCCCTCATGCTCCACGAGATGTAGACAAAATCTACCATCACGTACACGATAGCACATGCCACACCCTCGACCTCCCCCCACGTCCAAGCTGAGTGCCCTCAGCACCTACACGCTCCTCGCCCCAACCCTCGCCATGTCGTGACTAATCCATTCCCTGATTCCCCCCAACCCCTCACAAAAAAACACGATATTAAGTGCAGTTCCCTCATCCCCACATATCCCACACTGCCCCTCCCCCCCAACCCTCCTATCCCTCAGTACCATACCTGATGGTAAAATGCCATGCAAAAACTGGATCACCTCACGCACCCTTGGTCTTGACCACATCCCGCTGAAACACCTCCAAATGTTTCCTCAATCATACATTGGGTAAATCCCCTCCACCGGCGTCACTTCACTCCCCATGAGCACCCTTTGCAAGACCCCCACCCTGAGTTTACCAGACTCCTGGGCCAGTGCCATTGCACGTAGGACCGTCTCACACTCCCACAACCTTGCCCCCTATACAAGCCCAGCAGCATTTCCTGCACCTTCCCCAACTGCTCCTCACAGAAACCCCCCACTCTCAGTACCTCTCGCCATATAAACACGCATTTAACTCACCACCACAAATCCAAAAGACTAAACCACCCCGACGCACAGGCAACATTACCCCTCGCTTCTCAGCTAGTCACACCCTGAACCCCACAAAAACCTGAACACCCTCCATTGGATGTGACGAATCACCGGTCCTGTCAAGGGGAACACATTAGCAACGTACCAAACCTTACTATACAACAGCACGTTTACCACAATTGCTCATTGCAACAGGGTTAAGTGGGATGGTAACAGCATCCCCAACTGCTTCTCCATGCAGTCCACCAACCGATCCGAATTAGCCTTTTGCGGCCATGCGAGGTTTTTCGCATAAACAATGCCACAGATCTTCAAACTCCCCATGCACTTCTGCACCACTGGACAACTCCATTCCACTCTCTGCTCCCACGTGCTCAAACTCAAGATGAGAGACTTCTCCACATTCACGACCATGCCAGTCACGTCCCCATACAGTCAGACAACCTCACCCACTTCACCCAAACACGTCCTCTCGCCTACCAGAATAGTCATGTCATCCATGTACCCCACCTGTCCCGCCCATTCCCTCCCCACCACCCCCTCTCTCCCCCATATCCTCTCCCCAGCTAACCTATAAAAGGGGGTCTTGCACTCATGCAAACAATAATTGTGACAATTGGCACCCCTGTCGTAGAGCTCTGCCCATAACTACCCCCCCACACGCCCATTAATCTGCACGTGAACGTGCACCCCCCTATACAACGTCTCCACCCACCTCACTATTTCTTTCCCAAAGCCCTGGCATAAGAGAATACTCCATAAAGCCTTCCACTCTACTGTATAGGAAGCTCCCTTTTAGTCCAACGCCAACAACCCTATCTCCTTTACAAAGTTCCTGAGGATCCTATGCCCTGCCACTATCGACCTACCTGGCAGGCCTAACTGACTCTGTGAAACTACCCTATCCACAATGCACTTTAACCGGTTCTCTAACAATTTTGCAAAAAGTTTGTAATCAGTACACATCAACGAAATAGTGTGATAGTCGCTGAGTGTATGCTGCTACGACCCCTTCAGCACCAACAGCACCACTGCAGTTGCTTCCCCCTCCCCCAATTTGCCCCCTCCTTCATTGCATTCAGCAGCTGTACCAGAAGCCCCTCACTAGGTCCCAGTGCTGCACATAAAATTCACATGGCAACCCATCCACACCAGGCACTTTTCCCTTACTCATCCTTGCTAATGGCCGTCAGATTTACTCCTTCTCAGTATCGCCCCCCAGTGTTGTTCTATCACTCCTCCCAAGGTGATATGACCCTCCCCCACATACCCCTTCTAAATTCTCCACTGCCACACTTCGACTTTCCCAATAGTCTTCGAACCACCGATCCAAATACACACCCATACCCTTCATCGACCACAGCACTTGCCCCACCTGATATCCTTCCACCGAACCATGCACCTCCAACTGTGTCAGAGTGGTGGCATGCCATCACTGCTGTTGACTGCACAGCACACACGTCGACGGCCTATAACCCCATAACACTTCGTCCACCTCTGCCTGTACCCTCATAGCTTCAAATCACTCGTCCTGCAACTCCATGATCCTCCCCTTCAATGCGTTTATCTCCTCCACAGGATATACCCCCATCAACACTTCCATACCATAACAACTCCTTAAACGATGTTCCAGGTAATTAGACAAGCTGTAACGCAATTGATTGATCCTCTTCCCCTTACAGACATAGAATTTACGAACCCCTTACTTCGCCAATCTATCCCACTAACTAACCACATTCTCAATGACCCACCTTTCCTCCTCGAGCGCCTCCCAAAAAGTCGCAAAACCACCCATCTCCTCCTCATCTGGATCAAGATCGCCACCTCCCCTTCAGCCGAGCTGAACGTATAACAAAACCCCAATAACCTTTCACTTCAAATTCCCTGCCAACCTTACAGTTATGTTCCTGAATTAAAACTACACCTATGCGATGCCGACACAAAAACAATAGCAACCATTCACGCTTCACTCTCGCACACAAACCATTAGCATTAATAGTCATACAGCAGAGGCCTTAGCTAAGGTTTCTGCCCCCTCTTCCCCACTGCTCCTTGTGCATGCCCGCCAGGGCCCTGGGGACCACCTCTGCATGCTCTCCACGCACGTCACCTGTCCCACTTTGCACCACCTTCTGGTGCTGCTTGCCTCCATCCACACAAAGACCTGATTCTTCCCATGCACCACCATCTGGTGCTGCTTGCCTCCATCTGCACAACGATCCCCTTCTGCCCAGGCCTTCTTTCCTGTACGTTGAACCGGCGTCAGGACGTCGTCAGAGTCCGACGTTGCAGCCACCCGCTTCCTCGACACAATGTCCTCCTCCATGCCCGTGACCGGAGTGTTCTCAAGGTGAACTTCCACCACTGCTGTCCCCGAGGCCACGTGACCAGGGGTCAGCACGACCCCACCGGCTGCACCAGCACCCACTGCCGCCTCCTGCCGCTCTCCTCCACAGACACGAGCTCTGGACTGGCCAGCTGCACAGCCTGGGAAACCTCATCTGTAGACGGGAACATGGAGTGTAACATCGTCGCTATTGTTGCATTGAATTCCATGACTTCCGCCCACACCTGGTCCTCCCCACAAGCCTGTTGTACCACCAGCAGTGCAGGCAACTCGTTAGTCACCAGCTCTGGTTCCGACCACACCTCTGTCCCCTCAGTCTCGTCACTTCGAAGTCGACCACGCCCTCTATCTCCTTGTCGGACAGGTATGGGACTCCCCTGCTCATCATCAGGTGATGTTCCACCGGCCAGCCTCTTGGCCTGCCCACGCTTCTCACACTCCACCGCCATGACCATACTCTCTGCAGAGGCGGCACGTCCGGCGTTGTCCAGCATACGACACTATTACCTGCGTGCAGAAGTGATCAAAGTACACATACGATGGTATGGGCTGGTTCAGAGACATCTTAAGGGTAAACGTGCCCTCAGGGAGACCAGCATACGCCCCAGCCATCCTCTTGACTAGTTGTGCAACGTGTATCATTCCATATCTGCTGAAAACACGGCGGATATCTACCTCATCTGCTTCGAAGGGCACGTTACTCAGCTTTTCCCACGTGTATTGTCGTGAGACATCCACCATAGGCACACACACAGCAGAGGTCACGTCCACGCTGATATCTTGGAAGCGATCAACAAGCCCCTCATACACCGGCCCAGAGAGTAGTTTCACGAATAGCTTGTGGGTTCCATATTGGTAGTGTACTATATTACATGTACAAAGATACGTTTCATTGATTTTACATTTCAAATATTTGATCCAGCTCCTCAGAGCTCATTCGTGGATTATAAATATATTAGAATGCTGTTAGATACTGGACCTTGAAGGCTACAATAAGCTTCGCGTAGTTAGAAACAGTAGAATAGAATAGAAAGGTTAGCATGAACCACTACTACGATTGCATCGACAGCGTTTCATGGAAGAATCTCTGCTGATAGGACCAATTGCGAGATCTAGCTCGTGTCCCTTGTGTGTCATTTTCAATGACTCGAGGAAATCGTTCCGAATTATGGTAAAAAAGAATTAGGTAGGATGAAAGGCCAGCTATCAGCTGGAACAGTTAGGATTCACACTGAGATGTTAAATGTAAGAACTTATTTAGTTCTTTGGTAGTTAGTGTTTTTGTTAAATATATATATACATGAAAGGGATGATACTTTCGGAAGGGCATGGCCTGTTCCGCCCACCATGAGGCAGGCCAAAGCAGCATGGGTTCGAGTCCTGGCTAGTGAAGTGTTGTTATAGATCAACACCACTCGTTTGTGGTTACAATAATATAAAATACTACTCGTTGTACTAGTACACCAAACAGGGACTACAATGAAATTAGTCTAGAGTCATCCACACCATCGTGTGTCCTTGGGTAGCGAGTACAACATCCAGTTCCTCTGGATGCACTACTCTTAAGGATCGTATGGTCCAGTGGATTAGGGCGTCATGTGTTTTCGCCCACCATGAAGCAGGCCAAAGCAGCATGGGTTCGAGTCCTTGGCTACTGCAGTGTTTATTATATATAATATATATATATATATATATATATATATATATATATATATATATATATATATATATATATATATATATATTATTATTTTTTTTATTTTTTTATTATCACACTGGCCGATTCCCACCAAGGCAGGGTGGCCCGAAAAAGAAAAACTTTCACCATCATTCACTCCATCACTGTCTTGCCAGAAGGGTGCTTTACACTACAGTTTTTAAAACTGCAACATTAACACCCTCCTTCAGAGTGCAGACACTGTACTTCCCATCTCCAGGACTCAAGTCCGGCCTGCCGGTTACCTTGCTCACACTCCAACAGCACGTCAAGTATTAAAAACCATTCGTCTCCATTCACTCCTATCAAACACGCTCACGCACGCCTGCTGGAAGTCCAAGCCCCTCGCACACAAAACCTCCTTTACCCCCTCGCTCCAACCTTTCCTAGGCCGACCCCTACCCCGCCTTCCTTCCACTACAGACTGATACACTCTTGAAGTTATTCTGTTTCGCTCCATTCTCTCTACATGTCCGAACCACCTCAACAACCCTTCCTCAGCCCTCTGGACAACAGTTTTGGTAATCCCGCACCTCCTCCTAACTTCCAAACTATGAATTCTCTGCATTATATTCACACCACACATTGCCCTCAGACATGACATCTCCACTGCCTCCAGCCTTCTCCTCGCTGCAACATTCATCACCCATGCTTCACACCCATATAAGAGTGTTGGTAAAACTATACTCTCATACATTCCCCTCTTTGCCTCCAAGGACAAAGTTCTTTGTCTCCACAGACTCCTAAGTGCACCACTCACCCTTTTCCCCTCATCAATTCTATGATTCACCTCATCCTTCATAGACCCATCCGCTGACACGTCCACTCCCAGATATCTGAATACATTCACCTCCTCCATACTCTCTCCCTCCAATCTGATATCCAATCTTTCATCACCTAATATTTTTGTTATCCTCATAACCTTACTCTTTCCTGTATTCACTTTTAATTTTCTTCTTTTGCACACCCTACCAAATTCATCCACCAATCTCTGCAACTTCTCTTCAGAATCTCCCAAGAGCACAGTGTCATCAGCAAAGAGCAACTGTGACAACTCCCACTTTATGTGTGATTCTTTATCTTTTAACTCCACGCCTCTTGTCAAGACCCTCGTATTTACTTCTCTTACAACCCCATCTATAAATATATTAAACAACCACAGTGACATCACACATCCTTGTCTAAGGCCTACTTTTACTGGGAAATAATTTCCCTCTTTCCTATGTACTTTAACTTGAGCCTCACTATCCTCGTAAAAACTCTTCACTGCATTCAGTAACCTACCTCCTACACCATACACCTGCAACATCTGCCACATTGCCCCCCTATCCACCCTGTCATACGCCTTTTCCAAATCCATAAATGCCACAAAGACCTCTTTAGCCTTATCTAAATACTGTTCACTTATATGTTTCACTGTAAATACCTGGTCCACACACCCCCTACCTTTCCTAAAGCCTCCTTGTTCATCTGCTATCCTATTCTCAGTCTTACTTTTAATTCTTTCAATAATAACTCTACCATACACTTTACCAGGAATACTCAACAGACTTATCCTCCTATAATTTTTGCACTCTCTTTTGTCCCCTTTGCCTTTATACAAAGGAACTATGCATGCTCTCTGCCAATCCCTAGGTACCTTACCCTCTTCCATACATTTATTAAATAATTGCACCAACCACTCCAAAACTATATCCCCACCTGCTTTTAACATTTCTATCTTTATCCCATCAATCCCGGCTGCCTTACCCCCTTTCATTTTACCTACTGCCTCACGAACTTCCCCCACACTCACAACTGGCTCTTCCTCACTCCTACAAGATGTTATTCCTCCTTGCCCTATACACGAAATCACAGCTTCCCTATCTTCATCAACATTTAACAATTCCTCAAAATATTCCCTCCATCTTCCCAATACCTCTAACTCTCCATTTAATAACTCTCCTCTCCTATTTTTAACTGACAAATCCATTTGTTCTCTACGCTTCCTTAACTTGTTAATCTCACTCCAAAACTTTTTCTTATTTTCAACAAAATTTGTTGATAACATCTCACCCACTCTCTCATTTGCTCTCTTTTTACATTGCTTCACCACTCTCTTAACCTCTCTCTTTTTCTCCATATACTCTTCCCTCCTTGCATCACTTCTACTCTGTAAAAACTTCTCATATGCTAACTTTTTCTCCCTTACTACTCTCTTTACATCATCATTCCACCAATCGCTCCTCTTCCCTCCCGCACCCACTTTCCTGTAACCACAAACTTCTGCTGAACACTCTAACCCTACATTTTTAAACCTACCCCATACCTCTTCGACCCCATTGCCTATGCTCTCATTAGCCCATCTATCCTCCAATAGCTGTTTATATCTTTCCCTAACTGCCTCCTCTTTTAGTTTATAAACCTTCACCTCTCTCTTCCCTGATGCTTCTATTCTCCTTGTATCCCATCTACCTTTTACTCTCAGTGTAGCTACAACTAGAAAGTGATCTGATATATCTGTGGCCCCTCTATAAACATGTACATCCTGAAGTCTACTCAACAGTCTTTTATCTACCAATACATAATCCAACAAACTGCTGTCATTTCGCCCTACATCATATCTTGTATACTTATTTATCCTCTTTTTCTTAAAATATGTATTACCTATAACTAAACCCCTTTCTATACAAAGTTCAATCAAAGGGCTCCCATTATCATTTACACCTGGTACCCCAAACTTACCTACCACACCCTCTCTAAAAGTTTCTCCTACTTTAGCATTCAGGTCCCCTACCACAATTACTCTCTCACTTGGTTCAAAGGCTCCTATACATTCACTTAACATCTCCCAAAATCTCTCTCTCTCCTCTGCATTCCTCTCCTCTCCAGGTGCATACACGCTTATTATGACCCACTTCTCGCATCCAACCTTTACTTTAATCCACATAATTCTTGCATTTACACATTCATATTCTCTTTTCTCCTTCCATAACTGATCATTCAACATTTCTGCTACCCCTTCCTTTGCTCTAACTCTCTCAGATACTCCAGATTTAATCCCATTTATTTCCCCCCACCGAAACTCCCCTACCCCCTTCAGCTTTGTTTCGCTTAGGGCCAGGACATCCAACTTCTTTTCATTCATAACATCAGCAATCATCTGTTTCTTGTCATCCGCACTACATCCAACACATTTAAGCATCCCAGTTTTAAAAGTTTTTCTTCTTCTCTTTTTTAGTAAATGTCTACAGGAGAAGGGGTTACTAGCCCATTGCTCCCGGCATTTTAGTCGCCTAATACATATATATATATATATATATATATAAAATATATATATATATATATATATATATAAATATATATATATATATATATATATATATATGTGTGTGTGTGTTGGTGTGTGTGTGTGTGTGTATGTTACGAAATATTTTAAAAGCGAGCAAGAACGTTATACAAAAAAAAAGAATAAAGAAACAATAAGAATCTTAATGTTTGTTTTTAAATATTTGCTTCCCTAATTCTTATAGGTTCCACCACCGGCCGAATTTGCTGGTGGCATCGGGGAGTCTGGCTTTGGTACTAGTCACGGTAAATACCCAATTTTCGGGGTTCCCCCAGGGCTCAGTTTCAGGCCCTGGTAAAGCTGAAAGAATACCTCTCTGTGCCCTTACTTCACGTAAGTAAACCCAAGAATATTAAAAATAAACATGACATAGTGATGTCATGACACAGCATATTAAAATGCAGTAAGACATATGTAAATAATATTTTATAAAACGTATTGCCTACTGTATAGGCAAACGCTTCAGATGAGATGCTAATGTTGGCGTGTGTTATTTCCCATTTAAATCGGCAAGGGACAAGAAAAACATCACAGGGCGGTAGACATAAAATTTTAGCCTATAATTCCTCCCAATTCTTATAGTTCCAAGCGTTCTGGCATTACTTTTGGAGAATAGGAAATCCCTTGGGTTCCCCCTCTTACTCTCTTGGTAAACGATATACCCGGTGACCCTTAACTTAGATTTAAACCCAAGTATGATCTACGACAATTAGTTGTGCATATAACATTCAATTTAAAACATTAACGACTTTCAACAGAAGGGATTTAATTCCAAAATTATTCCCCTATGAAAGAAATATAATTTCCTTTATTATACATGTATAGACTAATTCGTGCCGAAAGAAAACTAGTCAATTAGCAAAACTCCTATCCAAATTCCAGTACCATTCTTATTTTTCTTAAGCGTTCAAATTTAGAAAAATCTTTTTTTCATTAATTTAAGTAAAATTTTAGTGATCCAAAAGAACTTTAAAAATTCCTTCCCGTATATTTTTGAAAATAAAAATTTAATTTTCAGCCCAACCAAACTTTATACTGAAGATTTAATTTAACAATTATTTCCCCTAAAAAACATAGTGATAATATATTTTTTCGATATTTTAAAATGTATTGGCGAAATTTATTGTCATTTCTAAAATTTTCATTTCCTTATGGTTAAGATAATGTTTTCATATTTAAGAAACAAGTTTTAATTCGGCCGAAAAGAATCTTAGATAAATTATAATTATATATACAAGAAAATTTATTTTAAACCCAACAAACTAAATATATTAATTTGTTACAATTATATTAATATAAACAAACACATAAATATATTTTTTATACGTTAGTATATAATGATTTTGGGGCCGAATATGTAAAAATGTCACTTAGCAATGAACTCATTTAAAATTAAGTCCTTTCCAAAATTTTATTATATAAATGTTTTATATATATATTTTATTATATAATTATAATAGTAACAATAAAATTAATTTTATACAAAATAATCTAGAAAAATTATAACTTATTATAACAATAACAATTTATTTAGCTAACCCAAATGTAAAATTAATTTGAAGATAGTTTAAAATAATCCTTCTAAAACCAAAACAAGAATATATTTTTTTTCCCATTAATTTAATTAAAAAAAATTTATTTTGTACAATGGATCTTAGATAACTTCTATTTAAGCCAAGATCGAAGTTCTGCCTAATCCCACAAAACGTATATTATTTTTAAATAATTTAATATAAACAAACAAATGATATATTTTAAATTTTTATACATTTTTCTATATAAATAAGTATATTTAAAAATAATTGCTATAATATATATATATATATATATATATATATATATAATATTATATATATATATATAATAATATTAAATATAAAATATATATATATAATATATTGAATTACCAGTTGGCTGGTGGAAAGGGCATGCCAGTGGGTGTGTGATGAACGACGGATAAATGTAACATTTTCGACGCATACCACAGGGGGGATAAGGTTTTAGAAGTTACAAGAGCTACATCTATCATCACTCCATAACTGGTTTGAAGGGAAGAATTTCCTGGTAGGTGCATGATTTATAATTTTATGTGGAGCATTCAAAAGAATGATAGTGAGAAAACTGCCAAACTAGGGTTTTAACCCTGGCACTCTATTTAATTATTACAATAAAAGCACGAATTTTCAGTATACATCAGTTGGTAAGTAATCTTTAAATTATTGTATACATTTATATATCTCACCAGGTACTCCTTCGTGCAACCTCCTGACACAGTCTGGGGTGTTAGACTCGATAATGGTTCATGGACCGGCATGATGGGTATGGTGGTGAGGGAGGTCAGTGTAGCAAGGCATTGTTTGAAAAAAAATATCATTTTGCCGTCCCAAAGTGAAAAATATATAGTTTTCCTTCATTGGTCTAACCTGATTAAAACATATTATAACACTTTTCCCAATCTAATATCGACATGACTTTAATACTGGAGAGAGTAGCAGTGGAGAGGAAATATAAAGGGGTTCAGTCTAGACAGATCAAGTTACAGGGACTCCAATATTAATTAATTTAGGCGAAATTGATTGTGAAATTTAAAAACAAATATATATGAATTATATAAAAAATTCTATTTAGATAGCAAACTCGGTTTACTTCGAGTATTTAATTAAATGACTACTTTGATAATTCCTTAACACCTGGTCAATTTTCTTACAGGAAGTAAGTATTGGTGCTGGACCGTTTATGGTCGATAGATGGCGAGCCGAGGTGGTGGACTTCACTGTACCAATGGTAATAGACTATTGGAGGATCCTGGGCGTTCGTGGTGTTCCCGAAGTGGACCCCTGGGGCTTCTTGTTCCCCCTGGCACCACTGGTGTGGGCGACAATCCTAGTGATGCTGGTGGTGCTTGCTGCTGCAGTGTTCCTCATGTATTCCTGCGGCTCTCTCAAGAGTGATGATCACAACTACTGGTTACAGGTCTCCTTCGGCTATGTTCGGATATTATTACAGCAAGGTAAGCTTTTTCTTCTCATGTCATCACCTGACCTTAAAATTTTCTCCTCCCCTCTTTACTTGACCTTTCTTTTCTCAGCTGTGACTTGATAATGGTTGTATTGAAGAACATACTCAAGTCTGCACTATCAACAATACAATCAGTCAAACCATACCACGGGCGGGGATTGAACTCGCGGTTGGAGAGTCCAACGAACGAACAAGTTCAGGTAAGATCCCAAATGGGATGAACGGGAAAGACGGGACAGACGAAGAGTAGCGCTGAAGAGGAGTGTTCTTAGTCGGAGAAATAGAGCCAGGGCTTAACCCAGCAGCTAAGGCGTTCGTGGGACAGACATTGAGAACAGAAATTCAGGCTCTTCTGTTGGGACTCCGGTGGGGTGAGTGGGAAGGACGGGACAGACGAAGATCAGCGCTAGAGAGGAGTGTAGAACTGAGCCATGTCTTAACCCAAAAGCTAAGGCGAACTTGGGTCAGAAAAAGGTACCTGTTAGAGAAGGTACCTGTCAGAGAGTCCAAGGTTATTTGTAAATAGGGTTAGGAGCAGGTTCGTACAAGGAGTAGAAAATGTTGTGTTGGTTTGTGGGTCTGTGAATGTCTTCGTCAAGGAGAGAGGTCCAGTAGTCATGTCGTGTCTCAAGTTTGTCTATCTGTCTGTCACTGAGCGTCTTCCAGTACAGATTCAACGCAGGGATGTCTAATTTGAAATCCTCCCATCTGACATCAAGCACCCAGCGCAGCGCCTTGTTCTGGACACGCTGCAGTTTAAGTTTGTTTTAGCTGCAAGTGAGAGGGCTAGAGGAGAGTAAGTTATTAGAGGACGTATTAGGGATCTGTAGAGGTTAGTTTGGTGCGTTGGGAGGCATGTTTCAACTTGTAGAGGCCCGCAAGGGCCTTACTAGCTATTGCATGCCTTGAGTGAATGTGTCCGTGTAAGCGAAGAAGGTAGTCAAGATTCGCCAAGGACAGTGACAGATTGTGTGATGGGGATGTAAGTGCAGGTGTCAGCTGTTCTGAGCTCGACGGTTAATGGAGGATCACGTTTCCTATAGTTAAAATACGTAATGCTGGATTTAGCTCCATTGGATTTGATCCTCCATTTTTGTTCCCAGATGGCTATCCTGTCGACCTCATTTTGTGTTTTGTGTGTGAGTGTATCTATATTGGCGTGAGTGGTTAGTTGTGTAATGTCGTCTGCATAGGCTAGTGTGATGTTGTGGTATACAGGTGTTGGAATGTCGTTAGTGTATAAAATGTAGAGGGTAGGGGAGAGGACAGATCCCTGTAGTACTCCGGCATTTAGTGTGAAGTAGTCAGAGTAACAGCCTTGGAATTTGATTCTCATGGTACGGCCGTCTAGGAAGTTGCAGAGGAGTTTACGAGTAGTGAGAGGCAGGTTAAAGTTAGTGCAGAGTTTGTACATGAGCCCTTCGTGCCAGACAGTGTCAAAAGCTTTTTCAAGGTGACTCACGAAATCGTAATGACACGATTGCAAACAAACCATACCACGGGCGGGGATATCGCGGGTTCTATCCCCGCCCGTGGTATGGTCTTTTTCAACGTCTTTTGCAACCTGGGCTGTCCTATTTCTTTGTTTTATATTTATGTGGATGAAGTTGAGAATGATGTTAATGGCATCCTGTGTGGATCTGTGAGTTCTGAAACCAAACTGGCCATCAGAAAGTAGAGAGTTGTGTTCCAGGTATCTGCGAAGGCGATGGTTGATGAGTTTTTCAAAGAGTTTTCCTAAAGTTTCGAGGAGGCTGATAGGGCGATAGTTTCTAGGGTCAGAGTGGTCTTTTTTGGGTTTAGGAAGGAGGATAGCAGTAGCAGCTTTGAAGAGGGAAGGGAAGTATCCAGAGGCAAGGGAGGCATTGAGGAGGTTTGTGTAGGCAGTAATGATAGAGTCAGGAAAGTGTTTTAGGATAATATGATTTAGGCCAGAGGCACCAGGAGCTTTGGGAGGAAGGTGACTAAGGAGAGTTTAATGTCTGTGTTGGTGAAAGGAGTGTCGAGTTCTTGGGAGGAGGTAAGAGAGTCCAGATGGATGTGGCTGTCTGGCGTTGTTTCTTGTGTGTGTGTATTGTTTCAGTGTTCTATGCTCTGAATGTGTTGAATAGCGTTAGGGTGAGGTGGGTGAGGATGGAAGATGTTCTCCTAGATGTGTTTGAAGGATGTTGTAATAAAGTTGGTAGAATTACCGACAATATGTAAAGTAAAAGGACACAAGTGCAACTAATGTGACATTTTATTGTGGCAACGTTTCGCTCTCCAGGAGCTTTATCAAGCCATTACAAACAATACATGGACACAGAGGGTATATAAAGGCTCAGAGTGAGGTGCAATACTAGTGAGGTACCATTTCGATGTTCATTAGTGGTAGTAGTAGTAGTATTAGTAGTAGTGACAAAAGTAATACAATATGGTAGAGCAATTAATTCGTACATGAATAAAAGGATATAAAAGCTATTACTTGGGTAACATAAAAATAAGTTTGACAAATATAGACTGGAAAGAGGCAGCTTGTTTCAGTGTTCACCCTCTGTAATGTGCTTTGTGTAGTATAACAGGAGAGACTATGTGATGGCAGGGTTTACTGTTTTCAGGAGGATACTTGCTAAGACTTCGGACATGGTGAAGCTGCCGTTGTTTTGTTTAATTGTATTCGAAACAGCGATTAGTGCTGATTCGAGGCACTTGCGTCTGCGGAAATTAGTTTCTTTGATCACTAATTGGGCGTCTCTGAATTTCATGAGATGTTTGGTGGAATTTCGGTGTTGTACACAGGCGTTGCTCAAGTTATCGTTCCTACATGCGTAAATCTGTTCATTGAGGCGGGTGTCGAGGTTTCTTGCTGTTTCACCTACGTTGCCACAATAAAATGTCACATTAGTTGCACTTGTGTCCTTTTACTTTGAAGGATGTTAGTGGCAGCCTGCGGGTCTGAGATGTGTGTGTTGTTGTGGGTGATGTGTTTGAATTTGTTGGTGGGAGTTGTGCCTCTGACTTTTTTCGATAAAGTTCCAGAAGGCTTTAGTGTTTTTAATACGCTGTTTGTCTGCTTGTTGTATAAGTTGTGACCAGTGATTGTTGTGGTCTTGGTCTAGGCTGTGTAGAATGTTGTTTCTAAGGTAAGTGAGATCTAATCGGACTTGATTAAATCTGTGTTTTGTAGAGGAAGCGGTTGTGGTAGCAGATAGTCTTCTTGTTCTGATTGAGAGTTTGAAGGAATAACGAGTGGTGTGAGTTTTCTTTGGTATTGCGATGTTGGCTGCTTGTGTAATGGTGTCCTGGATGAGATCAAGTTGAGTGTCGATGTCAGAGATAGGTTTGTTATTGTAGTCATAGATGAGGTTAGTATTGTCAATGTGTTGTTTGAAAGCATCCCAGTCAGTGTTCTTGTAGGAGAAGGAAGGTGTGGTTGGGATGAGGATAGGGTTGGAGATGTGTAAGATGACTGGGATGTGATCAGAGCCTGTAATAGGGCCAGGTGAAATGTAGTGTTGAAATAGAGAGCTGGCTTGGTTTGCCAGAATGATGTTAGGTTTGCTTTGGCCCGTGTGGTTGTAGAAGGTGTTGAAGTCTGGGCCAAGGTGAATTATGTGTTTATGGTTTGTGAAGTTGAGTAATTGGTGACCAAGTTGGTTGTTACTGGTGTGATGAAAGACGGTGTGTTTGGCATTCATGTCAGCTAGTAGATATGTTGGTGTGTTGGTGTAGTTGAAGACTAAGGAAAGATCGTGTATGTTGAGAGTAGTGTCTGGGCGAGCATAGGTGGTGAAAAAGATAAAGGAGTCAAGGTGGGTGTGTATTCTGACTGCAAGACAGTGTTGGTGAATAAAAGGGATTGGGAGAAATTCATGTTTTTTATTGGATTTGACAAGGATTGCAACACCATCGTGGGGATCAGAGGGGGACTGCAGTGAAGTATAATCATAATGGCGGATACGTTGAGGGGCTTTGAGGCAGGTACTGTTTAGTAAAACAATATCTGGCCTCTCTGCTTCAAGGAGCTCGGCCATTAGGTGTCTAATTGTAAAGTAAGAACGTACGTTGAACTGAATCACCTTAAACATGATTTAATGGTTTCGTCATAGCAAAGTTAATGTCGGGGGAGGAGTTTGGATTAAAGACCGTAATAGTGGTGCCATCAGTGGATGTGTGTTTGTAGGTGTTACGGACCCGTTTTTTGGAAGGGGAGGAATAGAAGGATCTAGTTTTGTGTTCTTTGGTCTGTCTGTCAGAAGTTGGGGCAGGTTTAGGTTTGAGTGGGTTTTGTCTGGAGGAGGTGGAGTTGGACCTGGATGAAGTTTTGGTTGTGGTGGAGGAGTGGGCGAAGGTGGATGCAGAGGAAGCTTTGGTAGAGGATGAGGAAGTGGAAGCTTTGGTTGGGATGAGGAAGTGGGTAAGAAGGTGGGGGGAGGTGTGGTCGGAGCTGCAGCAGTAGGGGTGTTGGTGGGAGAGGTGGAAGTAGTGAAGAGGGGTAGGGGAGGAGAGCTGGTGGGTGTAAGAAGTGGGGGAGTGGGAGAGAGGGAGGAGGGAGAGGTTGTAGTGGGCTTAGAAGAGAAGCAGGAAGGAGGGATAATTAAAGAGGGAAGATTGTTGGCAGACAAGATTAAGTTAAGGACATGTGAGTAGTCTGATTGGTAAGCTTGAGAGATTACCATCGCAGAGTGGGCAGCAGTGGCGAGTTGACAGTTTTGTAGTCTAGTGTGGGTGTAGGTGTAGAAGAAGAGGTGCTTGTAGCCTGTGTGTTGGTGTTTGATGTGTGTAGAGTAGAAGAGGAGGACCAAGTGCGTGGGGAGGCCCAGGCATTGGGGGTAGGGGAGGAAGGTATGGAAGGGGGGGAGGTGCAGGGAAGGGGTTGGGGAGGGAGGGAGGTTGGCTAGCTCTGAGGGAGGAGAGAATGTCTATTCTAGAGGGACAGGAATTTGCAACTGCAGTGTGTGACCCGCCGCAGTTAGAACATTTAAGGGGGAGGTTGCAAGTATTCCAGAAGTGGCCAGTTGCTGAACATCTGGAGCAGATTTGTGTGGATGTGCATGAGTTTTTGTCGTGGCCGAATTTGTAGCATTTCAGACATTGTGTGATGGGGTGGAAGTTCGGAGTGAAGAGAGTGGAGAAATGCGGATGGTCTTGGCAAGGATCCCTTGACTGAACTGTGTAGAGGCATCAGAAGGAATTGAACAGCGTATTTTGAGGATGGTAGAGTTTTCAGGTCTGTAAATATCGTCAACAGAGACTTTGTTCTTAGTACTAATGTCTTTGATTAAGTCTTCTTTGTCTGTGTCATAGACAGTCAGGAGAGAATAGTCTACATGTTTTGTGATCACTGTGCATTTGTCGCGGTGCTCAGGAGACCAAATAATAGTGAAGCCTGCGTTAAGAAGTTTTTGTCTGGTCTCGGTTGAGGTGTACGTTTCGTAAGAATATCTGTCAAGAAGGAGTTTGAAGTCTGAGTTGGTTTTAAGACTTTCAGCTGAGGTGCGCCAGTGATCTCGTACAATAAATTTCCAGGACAGATAGTAGCATGATCAGAATTAGAGTATTTGAGGTTAAGCGAGAAAGAATTGGGTTTGGAAGAGGTAGAGGCAGGGTAGGCCTTAGAGGCAGGAGTAGACGGAGTAGAGGCAGGTGTTGGTGGTAGAGGAGGAGTGGTAAGGGGAAAGGAGGTGGAAGGCATTGAAGGCATCGTAAATCAATTGTGGCGGCCAAATCTGTGAGAATACACGGCTAGGAAAGTTCGTGTGAAGTAGACACACTTACTTTAAAGTTTTCTTGTGGAGTCCGTCGCTGGAGGCGCAGGACACTGAGGAGGTGAGCTGTAGCTTGATGGAGCACTGTATGCCCTGAACGGCGAGGAGAGGCAACACTGGCTGTGAGCAGTGAGGAGAGCCAACTCCATCTGTATGGTGAGCAGACTTCACATACATGCTGAGGCGTGGAGACTTCAGACAGCAACAGGAGTGCAGAGGTAGGCTTCCTGCCTTTGGGTAGGCAGCCACCGACGCACCAATCCTGATGGTGTAGACGAAGGACTAGTAACCACCACTCGGTGAGGAGAGGCAACACTGGCTGTGAGTGGTGAGGAGAGCCAACACTAGCTGTATGGCATGCAGACTTCACATACAGGCTAAGTCGTAAAACTCCAGACCAACGCGTTAGCCACTGGGCGATCGGCGCTTGTGTAACTTACTGTAACTCGCATAATCACCGAGTTAAATAGGTAGGTGGGAAATCAGTTATACAATAATGAGTGTTTCATAAGCTGTCTGGAAGCTCCTCTCTTATTACTCACGGAAACTCACCCAAAACAGTGGCAGCTTCAGTATCTCAGAGGAATTATCAAGAATCACATAACGACCCCCACATTACTGTTATTAATATATATATATATATATATATATATATATAATATATATATATATATATATCAGGCGCGAGCAGCCTGACTGAATGGATGTTTGCTGGATGACCATTGATCAGTAATGGACTTAGAGGCCAAGTCTTGAATGCATTCATTAAGGAAGGAGTAATTTTTCGGAGACTGTATACATAGTACATTTAGTTTGGGTTAATATATATATATATATATATATATATATATATATATATATATATATATATATATATATATATATATATATATATATATATATATATATATTTTTTTTTTTTTTATTATCACACCGGCCGATTCCCACCAAGGCAGGGTGGCCCGAAAAAGAAAAACTTTCACCATCATTCACTCCATCACTGTCTTGCCAGAAGGGTGCTTTACACTACAGTTTTTAAACTGCAACATTAACACCCCTGCCTGCACTCTGAAGGAGGGGTGTTAATGTTGCAGTTTAAAAACTGTAGTGTAAAGCACCCTTCTGGCAAGACAGTGATGGAGTGAATGATGGTGAAAGTTTTTCTTTTTCGGGCCACCCTGCCTTGGTGGGAATCGGCCGGTGTGATAATAAAAAAAAAATATATATATATATATATATATATATAATATATATATATATATATATATATATATATATATATATATATATATATATATATATATATATATAACCCAAACTAAATGTACTATGTATACAGTCTCCGAAAAATTACTCCTTCCTTAATGAATGCATTCAAGACTTGGCCTCTAAGTCCATTACTGATCAATGGTCATCCAGCAAACATCCATTCAGTCAGGCTGCTCGCGCCTACCTCTCTTATTTCAAGAAAGTCTTTCTGGAATGCACAGGAAATGAAAATTACACTCATGATCAGCAGAAGATGAAATTGGCAAGGAAGTCGAAATCCCTCTTTAACAATATATGATAAAAAGCTATGGGGAATTCGTCGGTGCTACGAAGGCCAGCGTTGCTGGATGATTTTCTCTAAGGCATGCTCCTTCCTCCAGGTCGGAATCCTGGTTTTAGCCTAAAAGCCCTCATTATCTTCCCAAACCTTTTCAGTGTTTGTCTTCAGCTCCTTCTCAAGATCAACGTGAAGGAGCAAGAAAACACTAAGCAAATGGCCAGCATAAAGCAGCTTCGAGCTGAGAGTCTTCTCCTCAGACTTCTAGCCATATCCTCTGATAAAAAATATTAGACACTAGGATTACTGAACATAAAATATCCTCTGAAAAAAATAATCTATGCAAGATATGATTAACGCATTACGAATAGAAAATAATCATTCTAATGACATGTTTTACCAACATTCATATGAGCAACATCAAAAAAATGATTTTTTTTGGTAAAGTAATGAGCATAGAATATTCCAAAAGAAAATTACCAATAAAACTACGAGTAATTGAGCCAAATACCTGAATACCGAGTATCTGACTAAGTTTATACCCGAGTATCTTCAAGCCTCGAGAGCCACCCCTAAATATTATATAAAATGGCTCAGTGATATTTTCTCGTGAAGTGGAATAGATGTAAGGGATGGGAACTGTCAAAATCGAAAATTCACATTTGAACCAATCGCTTTCTCTTTCTAGATGCATATACATATTCACTTGTAGCTTGATAAATCTCATGTAAAATATATTCAGAGAACATTTTTTGTTGCTTTAGTGTTTAGTTTCATGTTCGTTATACATTTGGTACTTAAACAAGATGAGTAAATTATGCAACATAAATCTTTTTACACAATTTCTTTCAAATGTGTTTTAACATGATATAGTGAACCATTGAAATTAAGCGGTTAAACGATTAAAACTATTTAAATATGTTACTTTACTACATCAATTATTACAGATATGACGCTGCCTATAATCTGGTTGTGGGAGAGGGTTGTGTTGATGGTGTGGATGATGGTGACACTGGTGTTAACACGGAGTTACTCTGGCAACCTCATGGCTCTCCTGGCAGTGAGACACATCCCTCAACCTTACCAAACACTACGTGACGTGATGGACGACCCGTCAGTGAAGCTGATATGGCAAAAAGACTCTGCTTCTGTTCCTTATCTAAAAGTACGTCATGGAAACATAAAACTTGAATTTTCCTGCAATAAAATCAGAAAACTAGAATAAAAATACCTGAGCGTTTTTATGTGTTTACACTTAATATTAGAGGAGTGAAAAAGGAGAGTCTAGAAAACCTAAGAATTGATAAATAGTTAGAGAAGCTCTAAAGAACTACTAAACCTATTAATAGTTTTGTAACAATCAGCTAAAATCTGTTGTCAAACCCAAAATGGGAAAAAAATGTAACCCCCCCCCCCAAAAAAAAAAAAAACAGTAAATTAGATAGCCAGATTCATTATTTCAGTAATGTTGCTAAAAATGGTTAAGGTTCGTTGTGTATAACGAAGCTCTGTAACAGATCTATCGGCCAAAGTGACCCCCTGGCCCCTTTAAGAGGGGAGGGGGTTGCTTGTCTTAGTGAAGAGGCTCTTGATTTGAGGAATTTGAGTTTGCCTCTCCTTCAGACTCCCCACCGTCCTCTCTCCATTTGACATCTTTATCAGGGATATTTGCCCATTGTGAAATCCAACTCCTCGTCAGAAACAAATGGGATCACTCTCAGCTTATTTCTAGCACAGCTTCAGAGGCTGGTGCAGCATTGTTCCTGTCACTCCACCCAATTGGAAATTGAATCATCTTGTGACAGGCGAGATAATCCTCCTGTGAGACACTGAGAGGATACCTGACAGAACCTATGGCAGAAATTTCGCCGGAGGTTGTGAGGTCATCTCAAATTTCCACTTTTTCTTAGTCAGCAGTGGTACGTCTCCATCTGATCTGCTTCCTCTGTTCCACTGGTAGGCAGGATTCAGCCTACCAGTGACTATGCCCCCGTCTGCTACGCGTCCCTAACCATTGACGCCTATATAAACGCCAGTCTCCTTGCCTTTTCTCCAGAATCTCTACCACAACGGTGCTCTCAACACCACCTCCAAGGCTGAGGGACTGATTACCTCATCTTTTGTATATAGTTCTAATGTCTTCTAATTGTGTCCTAGAATCTTTATTGATAAAGCCACTGGATGGCGAAACGTCTACAATAAACATAACCAGATGTTTACCTGGAGAGAGTTCCGGGGGTCAACGCCCCCGCGGCCCGGTCTGTGACCAGGCCTCGATGTTGCACAAGTGTCTTAACTTTCATCTTGTCGGTATTGTTGCACTACTGTAGTAGGCTGAGAAAGCCGCCACTGGGTAATATATCATGTACTAAAATATCCTTAATATTCCGAATGTGTTTATAAGTTGGTTTGTCTTTGCTGACTGTCAAGGAAACTTCTTCCTCCTGATCAGAGGAATGGGAAGAGACTGTAAATAACTTTGACGTAGAATAATGAAAACTGTAAAAAGTTTTTAAATATAATAAAAATAGCCGTTTGGAGTTTTAGTGTGTTCATGAGGCAGGAAAATATTATAATCAAAGATGTGTTCTTCAGGTGTGAAGATGATTTTATGCTTGATCGACGGTGATATAGTTATTATATAGATGAAGAATTTCCTGTCATTGTTTATTAGTAGAATCCCTTCAGATTGTTAAGGAGAAAAGAGGAATCGTTTTTTCCTACTAAGTCGGGTAGCCAGGGATCGACCTCCCAAATTATCGAGCCTCTTATTATTTTATTATTAAAGATTAGCCGGTATTCTCCCGGCCCGGGCCTTTTCCAAGTGGTGGCCCGGCCTTGGCTCCCTCTTTAGGGAGTGTCTGAGACCTAAGTCTCCCATGGGAGGAGGTACAAGTACCTCCTCATCTTTGGGACCAACTGTCCCCAGGCCTAGCCACAAGCTAGGCCTCTCTGGTCTGCCATCCCCGCCCCAAGGGAGCAAATGGGAATGACAGTCTTATGAGCTAAAGGCTCGGGCTCAGGCACCTACCCTACCCTAGAAGGGTTAGGCATGGTGTCGATGATCGAGCCTCTGTTTCCGAAAGACCACCCCAGCAGCAGAGTTGCCAATGAGAGGAAAGAAAACACCGGTTACAAGATGGTTAACGAAGTATAACAATAAAGAAAGTCAAAGTCTGGTAATTGTGCTTCAGTAACATTACGGGTAACCAGGTCAAACAAAAAAAATTAACAATATCCCAGGTAGATCACCTTACCTGATCAGGAGAAGAGTAGAGGTGAAGTGATTACCCCAACTTTCAACCAAACCAGGTTAATACTACCAGGATTTGAAACTGAAAACCTCAGACCCGAAGAAATTTGGCGGTTTTACAGCGGCTCGCTAGATGGCAGTGTTGTCGGCGACACATAGTAATAGTCGCTGTGAATCTGAAATATCATTAGCCCAATTTACTGGTTTTTCTTCACACTGAAAGATTTTATACAATTTCACTTGTATTCCCAGAAGTATTTTTGGGCAACATGTACAATATTAAGAAATATTTCATTACTGTTTGTAAGTTTCAGCGACATAACCTTCGATATATCTAGAGAGAGTTCCGGGGGTCAACGCCCCCGCGGCCCGGTCTGTAACCAGGCCTCATGGTGGATCAGGGCCTGATCAACCAGGCTGTTACTGCTGTTACGTAATCCAACTTACGAACCACAGCCCGGCTGGTCAGATACTGACTTTAGGTGCCTATCCAGTGCCTGCTTGCAGACAGCCAAGGTTCAATTGGTAATCCCCATGATGTATGCTGAGAGGCAGTTGAACAGTCTTGGGCCCCTGACACTTACTGTGTTCTCTCTTATCGTCCTAGTGACACCCCTTCTTTTCATTGGGGGGATGTTGCACCGTCTGCCGAGTCTTTTGCTTTTGTAGGGAGTGATTTTCGTGTGCAAGTTTGGTACTAGTTCCTCTAGGATATTTTCCAGGTGTTTCTTAAATCCATTTTAGTCTGCCAAAAAAAAAAAAATAGGTTGGACTTCTACTGTGTTATCCATATTATTATAACTCAATGTTATATTTAAAGTTACATATTTGTCGTCGCTTTCTATAAGCTCTTCTGTGACCTCGACTGGATAGATTATATACTCTGGTAGTTAATGTTTGCCAGAACCAGGTCAAGCAGGTTACTCTCTATTGTTGGTCGTCACAGTCTACTTCACGGAAGTCAGGCACAATATAAGAAAATGATGCATCAGTATAGAACCTTTTAATTAACAGATGACATATACTGTTTGTGTCTTTTATTACACCTTAGGAAGTTGTTGACCTCTAGACTCCAAGACTAAAATTACAATCTTTCATTACTACATTTTCGTTTTGTTTTAATTCTTACCAGTTGACAAATTAAATTTCAAATCTCCGACAGGAATATTACAGACAGTGCTCTTATGTTCTTGTGTACATCTTTAAGTCGGTTCAGAGATGGAGCTGCCTATCGTAGGCCAGTAGGCCTCCGGCAGTTCTCCATTGTTCTTCTGATTAAACTTAAGCTTACTGGGAGACGCTTCATTTAGGAACCTTTGTAATATGTGCTTTTCTTGATTCTTCTTAAAACTCTTATGAAGATATGTGTAAGCACTTTAAAGCGATCAATTTGGTTATTGTTTTTCTTTGTGGTATTGTCTTAATATTTACTGTCACGGGAATTTATTTATATATATATATATATATATATATATATATATATATATAATATATATAATATATATATATAAACATCGCTCTGTAATAATTAAAAATTTCAGACAGCGAAGTTTGGTATATACCGGGAGATAGCTGATTCAGAGAAGACTGGTCGGCTGATATTTATACCACATCCGCAGTTCCCAGAAGCCATAGACACTTTAGTACGACGTGGCGACCACGTCATCATTGATATTCGTGGTGATGTCAGGTCTACTATTGCTCAAGATTTCACAAAAACAGGTAGTCTGAAAGCCAAATACATGAATTCTATTATGAAAAATGAGATGCCAAATTTCATATAAATGGAATAGATCAGTTTACTGCTTACGCCTCTGAAATAAGATGAAGGTTGTGGGATAGATATATTTTTGTACTAACTTTGTGGTAAGAGATAAAGATACGACTGCAATACTTTAGACATTTATTAGAAGCATTTCGCCCTTTGCGGAATTTATCAGTCCAGTTTTGAAACTGGACACATGTGCAACACCTGGTTGTCTTTATTGTAGACGTTTCGTCATCCAGTGGCTTTATAAATACAGATTCTAAGACATAACTAGTCTTGGAGGTGGTGTGAAGAGCACCGTGGTTGTAAATATTCTGGAGCACAGGCAAGGAGACTGGCGCTTATATACTCACTACGAAAGCAAAAGACTTGGCAGACGATGCAACATCCCCCCAATGAAAAGCAGGGGTGTCACTAGCACGTTAAGAGACCATACAATAAGTGTCAGGGGCCCGAGACTGTTCAACTGCCTCCCAGCATACGTAAGGGGGATTACCAACAGACCCCTGGCAGTCTTCAAGCTGGCACTGGACAAGCACCTAAAGTCGGTTTCTGACCAGCCGGGCTGTGGCTCGTACGTTGGTTTGTGTGCAGCCAGCAGCAACAGCCTGGTTGATCAGGCTCTGATCCACCAGGAGGCCTGGTCACAGACCGGGCAGCGGGGGCGTTGACCCCCGGAGCTCTCTCCAGGTAATAGACGTCAGTGGATAGGGACGGGTAGCAGACGAGGCCATAGTTACTGGTAGGTGGGATTCCCCAGTGGAAGTAGGTCCTACCCAAAGGAATGGGTAAGTCGTAGTATCCGTGAAGAAGGTCTTGTACATGTCATCGGAGCCAAGATTCCATGATGATGCAGTGCCTGACAAGTTGTACAAGAAAGGTATACAATACCGGTGCTCTTCACACCATCTCCAAGGTTGAGGGACTGATTACCCCATCTTTTGTATATAGTTCTACTGTTTTCTAGTTATGTCCTAGAATATGTATTGATAAAGCCACTGGATGACGAAACGTCTACAGTAAAGATAACTAGATGTTGCACATGTGTCTTAACTTTCATCTTGTCGGTATTGTATACCTGTCTTGCACAGTCCAGTTTCACTGGGATACCCCACCAGCGGCCGATACGTTTACTAATAAATATCTCAAGTGCTGCATAAGTTTCTTTATTACACAGTTTGTCGATATTCACATACCATACATCTTTATTAGCTTAAAAGTCTTGTTTTAAAAGTTTCTAGTTTTGAAACATTAAGTTGAAGTATTTTGCTCGTTCTAAATTATGTAAGAGAACAAGTGCACAGTCTTCAGGAAAGTATAATGCCTGACGTAAGTCTTAACTTGCCTCAATATGCTATAAATTTTACTCTTTAACGTCATGTCATTTTCAAGAGCACTGTTTCCTATCGAATCTTTTCATATTTACAGCGAAATTACCTGAAAGTTGATGTTACAATGTTCAGTAAATATTCTATCACGATTGATCTATTGATCTGTTCTGAGCGAATTGGATTTTTATCTTAAGATATGAATCGTCTAACTAAATTATTAGGGACTTTGTCTTATAAATCCTGTCTTCTTCAGATGTTTGCATTCTTCATCCAAAGGTTTGATAAAATGCACATCTAAGACTGGTATATAATTCCCTGGATCCTCCTGTCTACCCCGTAGAATTATGTTGTCAGGTAACATTGTTTTGGCTTTTTTTCAAATCCCTTTCTTCAGCAAGCTCACGTATTCTCTGTCTTTTGTGATGTCCTTGAATCGTCTGAAAAATTCTTTCATAATCGTTAGCTTCCCTTGCCATTTCTTCAACCATTTTCGGTCTTTTATATTTATTTTTCATTATTTTATTCTTGCTGTTATTAAATCTGATTTGCATTCAATATTTGATAATATATCTGTCTCAATTTCCCAACTTATGGATATTGTTTGAGGGGAGAAGGAATTAATAATTTTTATTTAGTAACTCATATAGTAACTTAATGTTTATTGCAGGAAAATGCTCATTTTACCAGTCCAGAGAAGAGTTTCTCCTGGTAATGTTAGCCATGATTAGTCAAAAGGACAGTCCACTCGTTCCAGTTCTAAATAAAAGGTAAAAAAAAAAAATATCTTTGAAGAATGTTTTAGGAGCGAATGGAGACAAATGGTTTTTAGGATTTGACGAGCTGTTTGAGTGTGAGCAAGGTAACATTTATGAAGGGATTCAGGGAAACCGGCAGGACGGACTTGAGTCCTGGCGATGGAAAGTACAGTGTCTGCACTCTCAAGGAGAGGTGTTAATGTTGCAGTTTAATAACTATAGTGTAAGCACACCTCTGGCAAGACAGTGATGGAGTGAATGATGAAAGTTTTTCTTTCCGGACCACCCTGCCTTGGTGATAAGCGGCAGATGTGTTAATAAAATAAAATTATATATATATGTACATATATATATATATATATATATATATATATATATATATATATATATATATATATATATATATATATATATATATATATGTATGTATGTATGTATGTATGTATGACGTGCCGAATATGTAAAACTGATCAATTACCAAGAACTCATTTAAAATTAAGTCCTTTCTGAAATTTTCTCTTATATGTTTAAAAATATATTTTTTTCATTAATGTTAATGTAACTTTTTTTTAATTTTGCACCAAAAGAATCTTAGAAAACTTACCTAACATTATTATAACAAGAGCAATTTATTTTAGCCTAACCCAACTAAATATATTTTAGATTTGTTTAAAATAATTTAATACTAATTAAACCCAGTGAAAACTATTTTTTTCGTTAGGTTCAGAATGATTTTGGAGAAATTATTGCATACACAAATTTCCACTTGTCCTATATGGCAAGATGAGCGTTGGTATTTAAGCCAAGATCGCAAGTTCTGCCTATTCGGTACGACATATATATATATATATATATATATATATTATATATATATATATATATATATATATATATATATATATATAATATATATATATATGTCGTGCCGAATAGGCAGAATTTGCGATCTTGGCTTAAATAGCAACGCTCATCTTGCCAAATAGGACAAGTGAAAATTTGTGTATGCAATAATTTCGCCAAAATCAATCTGAACCTAACGATAAAAATATATTTCACTGTGTTTGTTTAGTATTAAATTACTGTAAACAAATCTAAAATATATTTAGTTGGGTTAGGCTAAAATAAATTGCTCTTGTTGTAATAAGGTTAGGTAAGTTTTCTAAGATTCTTTTAGTGCAAAATTAAAAATTTTTACATTAACATTAATGAAAAAAATATATCTTTAAATGTATAAGAGAAAATTTCAGAGAGGACTTAATTTTAAACGAGTTCTTGCTAATTGACCAGTTTTACATATTCGGCACGACATATATATATATATATATATATATATATATATATATATATATATATATATATATATATATATATATATATATATCTATATCTATATATATATATATAATATATATATATATATATATATATATATATATATATATATATATATATATATATATATATATATATATATACATGTATGTATATATATATATATATATATATATATATATATATGTATATATATATATATATATATATATATATATATATTATATATATATATATATATATATATATATATATATATATATATATATATATATATATATATATATATATATATATATATATATATATTTCTGTCTTTTAGGACATTATCATATCTTCTTGAAGCTGTGTATTGCGTTTACCTCCATTACTACATCATCCAAGTCATTTCAATACATCTCTATAGCTCCTCTTCGTTTTCTGCTTCCACCTGTCCGCCCTTGATCCTAGTCCTTTTAACTCAAACATTCCGTGTCTATCTGCCCTTGTCTCTCTCTCTAAGGATATAGTGTATGTCGCAATCATGTCTACCCATGTCCTTTGCTCCGATTGGGTCGTCAGGTTTAGTTCCTTCAAGCTCTCCTACTATGCGTGTGTATCACTTCTGGTATAAGCCTCGTTGTAAACCTTTGAGGCTCACAAGGCTTGTTCCAGGTTCTTCACATGCTTCATCAGGGAAGGGCTTCATGCCGGGGCTGGGGACTCAGTGAGTGATCTAACACGTGTCGTATATGAAGTTTTTAAATATTGTCAATTCAAGTTCTAAAATGCTCAAAGGCATCTCTGGTCAAATTTACTTCTCAGTACTTTATAGGGCTCATTGCACAGCATCATCATCAGCTCCAGATCCGGCTTCAGAACAGTGCCTATTAGTATGTCAAGGACCTTTTCAGGGAAATGTTAAGTAACTTTACAAACAACGCTTCTTTGCTCAGATAATTTCTGTAGTGTTAACTTTGTTTTCAAGGTCTTCGTTCTCATCCTTTCTTGATATATAACTCACTCTTAACTGGAAACTGAGCTCATCCAAAATTCTTCTGCTAAGTGAACTAGATACCTCGAGGGCGCTGGATCCGGATAACATCTCTCCATGGATCCCGAGAGAAGGAGCAGAGGAATTGTTTGTACCTCTAGCAGCGATCTTCAGTAAATCTTTAAAAAACAGGAGAACTGCCTGAAGTATGGAAGTCAGCACTGTAGTCCCAATTTTGAAGAAAGGAGACACAGGGAGCATTAAACTTCAGACCAGTGTTACTGACTAATATAATCTGTAAATTTATAGAGAAGATTATCAAGAGAAGAGTGATGGAGCATATAGAAAGGAACGAGCTCCTACATGACAATCAGCACTGCTTCAGGGATGGGAATACCTGACAGAAAGCAAACAGCGATTGCTGGAACGTGATGAGGTGTCACAGTGGGCACATGTGACGATTTTGGTTCCACATGGGTCAGTCCTAGGTCCGGTGCTGTTTCTTGTATATATGAATGATATAATGGAAGGAATTAATTTAGACGTGTCCCTGTTTGTCGAAGTCAAACAATAAGTAGAATACAAACAGACGAGGATCAGGTAAAAGTACAAGGGGATCTGGACAGCCTGCTGCAAGCCTTGTCAGACAAATGGCTTTAGGAGTTTAACCCTACTAAGTGGAAAGTCATGAAGCATGGGGAAGGAAAAAGAAGACTGTAGGAAAAGGACCTTGGGGTGAGCATTATACCGAGCACATCCTCTGAGGCACATATCAACCAAACAACAGATGCAGCATATTGGCGCCTGACAAACCTGAGTATAGTATAACGAAATCTAATAAGGAGTCATTCACGACACTGTACACCGCGTATGTTAGGTCAATATAGGACTATACAGCACCATTATGGAATCCACACTGTCAAACACATGAAGAAATTGGAGAAAGTGCAAAATTTTACAACAAGACTAGTCCTGGAGCTAAGAGTTATGTGTCTTATGAGGAGAGGTTAAGGGAACTCACCCTGATGATACTAGAAGATACGGGGGATATGACAACGGCGTATAAAATACTGAGAGGAATTGACAAGGCGAATAGGGCCAAAAATTTTTCAGAAATGGGACATAGATACAACTGGACACAAATGGAAAATGAAAGTAACATGAGTCACAGGGATGTTAGGGAGTGTATGTTTAGCATTGGAATTGTCAGGAAGTGGAAAAATCAGGATAGTGAAGTAGTGGAGGTAAGATCCATACATTACTCTATATATAAATATGATAAGGCTCCTGGAGTGCTGAGTGACCTAGTTATTACTCTATATATAAATATGATAAGGCTCCTGGAGTGCTGAGTGACCTAGTTATTACTCTATATATAAATATGATAAGGCTCCTGGAGTGCTGAGTGACCTAGTTATGACTAAGAGGCGGGACCAAGAGTTATGACTCGACACCTGCGACCACATATAGGTGAGTACATTATTTTCGTTTTATTATGATATTTAAGTTTGTTTATCTCTCAGGATGACGTCGATGACGGAGGCTGGGTTGTTCTTCCAGTGGTTGATAGCTGAAGAACCCAATGCCACTGTGTGTGATCATGTTCCCACCAAGATCACTGTCAACGAAGCTCTCACTTTCAGCAACCTTTCGGTAATAAATATTTTCAGAATTTTCAAAAAAAAAAAAAAATACAAAAAGCAAATTACATGGGGACAAAATTGAAGCGTCATGCATTTAGGACAAACACACACACACACACACACACACACACACACACACACACACACACACACACACACACACACACACACACATACACACATAATATATATATATATATGTATATATATATATATATATATATATATATATATATATATATTATTTATATATATATATATATATATATATATATATATATATATATATATATATATATATATATATATATATATATATATATATATATATATATATATATATATATGTGTGTGTCGTGCCGAATAGGCAAAACTGGTCAAACAGCAAGAACTCATTTAAAATTAAGTCCTTCCTAAAACTTTCTCTTATACGTTTAAAGATATATTTTTTTTCATTAATGTTAATGTAAAAATTTATAATTTTGCATCAAAAGAATCTTAGAAAACTTACCTAACCTTATTATAACAAGAACAATTTATTTTAGCCTAACCCAACTAAATATATTTTAGATTAGTTTACAAGAATTTAATATTAAACAAACACAGTGAAATATATTTTTTTCGTTAGGTTCAGAATGATTTTGGAGAAATTATTGCATACACAAATTTTCGCTTGTCCTATATGGCAAGATGAGCGTTGCCATTTAAGCCAAGATCGCAAGTTCTGCCTATTCGGCACGACATATATATATATATATATATATATATATATATATATATATATATATATATATATATATATATATATATATATATATATATATAATATATATATTTTTTTTTTTTTTTCAACAAGTCGGCCGTCTCCCACCGAGGCAGGGTGACCCCAAAAAAAAAAGAAAGAAAATCCCCAAAAAGAAAATACTTTCATCATCATTCAACACTTTCACCACACTCACACATTATCACTGCTTTTGCAGAGGTGCTCAGAATACAACAGTTTAGAAGCATATACGTATAGAGATACACAACATATCCCTCCAAACTGCCAATATCCCAAACCCCTCCTTTAAAGTGCAGGCATTGTACTTCCCATTTCCAGGACTCAAGTCCAACTATATGAAAATAACCGGTTTCCCTGAATCCCTTCACTAAATATTACCCTGCTCACACTCCAACAGATCGTCAGGTCCCAAGTATCATTCGTCTCCATTCACTCCTATCTAACACGCTCATGCACGCTTGCTGGAAGTCCAAGCCCCTCACCCACAAAACCTCCTTTACTCCCTCTTTCCAACCCTTTCGAGGACGACCCCTACCCCTCTTTCCTTCCCCTATAGATTTATATGCTTTCCATGTCATTCTACTTTGATCCATTCTCTCTAAATGACCAAACCACCTCAACAACCCCTCTTCTGCCCTCTGACTAATGCCTTTATTAACTCCACACCTTCTCCTAATTTCCACACTCCGAATTTCTGCATAATATTCACCACACATTGCCCTTAGACAGGACATCTCCACTGCCCCCAACCGCTCCTCGCTGCTGCATTTACCACCCAAGCTTCACACCCATATAAGAGTGTTGGTACTACTATATACTTTCATACATTCCCTTCTTTGCCTCCATTGAAAACGTTTTTTGCTCCAATATACCTCAACGCACCAAACTACCTTTTTTCCCTCATCAATTCTATGATTAACCTCATCCTTAAAAAAATTTCCATCCGCCGACACGTCAACTCCCAAGTATCTGAAAACATTCACTTCTTCCATACTCCTCTTCTCCAATTTGATATCCAATTTTTCTTTATTTTAAATCATTTGATACCCTCATCACTTTTCTCTTTTCTTGTTCACTTTCAACTTTCTACCTTTACACACATTCCCAAACTCATCCACTAACCTTTGTAATTTTTCTTTAGAATCTCCCATAAGCACAGTATCAAACAGCAAAAGTAACTGTTTTCAATTCCCATTTTGAATTTGATTCCCCATAATTTAATCCCACCCCTCTCCCGAACCCCTAGCATTTACTCCCTTTTTCAACCCCATCTTTAAATATATTAAACAACCATGGTGACATTACAATCCCTGTCTAAGACCTACTTTTACCGGGAAGTATTCTCCTCTCTTCTACACACCCTAACCTGAGCCTCACTATCCTCATAAAAGCTCTTTAAAAGCATTTAGTAATTTACCACCTATTCCATATACTTGCAACATCTGCCACATTGCTCCTCTATCCACTCTATCTATGCCTTTTCTAAATCCATAAATGCAATAAAAACTTCCCTACCTTTATCTAAATACTGTTCACATATATGCTTCAATGTAAACACTTGATCTAAAAATCCCCTACCCACTCTGAAGCCTCCTTGCTCGTCCGCAATTCTACATTCTGTCTTACCTCTAATTCTTTCAATTATAACCCTACCGTATACTTTTCCTGGTATACTCAGTAAACTTATTCCTCTATAATTTTTACAATCTCTTTTGTCCCCTTTCCCTTTATATAAAGGGACTATACATGCTCTCCGCCAATCCCTAGGTA